GTGAGGTAAATAAACAGTACACTTGAAATTAAGTAACTCTTGTTTTGTTTGAAGCAACTGTACAGGAATTAGGATATAATTGCCATCTTAATTTTTTGTCACCAATGAATAGCGTCCCTATTTTTTATATTCGAATGTTGGCAGGTATGTAAATATACAGCATTTGATGGACGGGACCTGTATGGGGGTGTAGGTGTACGTAAAAACTTTAGAAACCATTACTGGACTACATATCCCTCTAAACTACGTACAATGGAACGTACACACCCGCAGGGTTCTGGTTTATTTTACGAAATGTACGAATGTGTGACTAACCCACGTCAGTAAAATTTCTCTCTCGATCGTTCGTGGTTGGGGATACGTAATGGTATGAATCATGTCTAGCGCTTCTTTCATTTGCTTTCAATGTGTCTACATGGTAAATGTGAGAAAGTAGTAGCTGTCTCCCATCGACCATCTTGGATTTGCCGTCTCAAAATAAGAAAAAAAAAAAGTGCCCTAATTCTCCATTTTTTCCCTCAAAATTTTAGGACGAGAAACTACTTTGTTTTTGACTTGGCCTAATATTCTGACATGGCCTACTGTTCAAACGGCGCGGTGTCATTTATTCCTGGGTGAAAATAGACGAATAAGCAAGTCATGCAACGATTTCTTTCTCTCATTAGGTCAACGAACTACTGTATACAGTTCATGGTCTAGAGCACAATACACTGTAAATGCCTTTGAACATAAAATAGATATTTTGTTTCTTTGTTCGATATATATTAAGGTTTTTGTTTGTATTGTCGGAAAACTAAATATTATATTTTAACACTAAGTCAACACCATGAATACATTTCAGAAGCCATATTTTCGCATCATTTGAATTCATTCAATGTAATTTCCTTCAGGTATTTACGTAGCTTCATGCCACGGTATTTTGCGCTACAAGAAATACTTTTTGAAAGCCTATTTCTAAAGCAATTGAAATATCGGCAAGCACGTTTTGTTGAACTATTTTGTTCAAAAGACGCCTCTGGTCAAAAGCAATTCGTTCAGCTCGGATGTATAATGCCGATATATTGTAAAAAATTATTCAAATTAGTGATTTTAGTGACGTACATACCGTAAAAATTCACTTCCTTATAGAGACATGTAATCATACACCCACGCTTCCCAAACTGTGGGTCGCAACCAAAAAATGGGCCGCCAAACAGATTGTCAATTCATACGTGGTAATTTACATGGTCTTTAACAGATCTGACGACTTGAAAACAGTATGTTAGGTGAACTCTCATTAGAACAATATTTTATAATATGTCCACAATGAATATCGTATATCTTACAACAACATTATGGTATAAATCTAAACATTCCACTGTTTGAAAACAAGTATAGGCATTAACTTAAAATAGAAACGCTGTTATGTGACCTAAAAGAATAGCATTTTCCCAATAAATTTTAAAAGGGTACCTATACAAATGCTAACAATAATAATACAGTTAAAAATCCGCTCTCCCAATGTATTTGGTTGGTTGATATAATGGTAACCATTAGAGCTAAAATGAAGGTTTATGTTTATCAAATATATTATCTAAATATTGAAAATATTTGTTTGCAAAAACGCCCATCCAATATTTTAAGATTTTGGGTACGAACTACACACACACACACATATCGTTTAAATACGTAAATGAACAATATATTTTGCATAAAAGCCTGTAACTATAATTATTGTAGGTACAAAAAGGCTAAATTGCAAACTACATATGAATAATAATCTGTTCCTTTAAGATTTATTCTGACGTTTTTAGTTGTGTTTCAACTCGAGTATACTGTACAATGTTTCTTTGATTCTATTGAAAGCAAATGAAAATTTCTGATGTCTAATCAGTAGTCCTTAATATTTTAAACAGCAATGACATCGAAGGTACAATACTACAGGGAATCCGTCGCGTAAACACCGTCTAGTCCGTTCGAGTATATATTTTCTTCGCGTTTTATAGGCTCTAGAATTTCATCAGATAACATAGCTTCTTCTTCGAACTTGGCTTTCTTCTTAAAATGAATGACTACAAAATAAAAGATTATTATTCTAATTACTGGATTAGATATCCTATTTATTATTATTCTAAATATTATTTATTTTGTTATACTAGTTAATATTATTGTATTATTGTAGTTTTCTTCAACATCATCATCATCAGCAGCAGCAGCAGCAGCTGAAGTAATTGCATTTGATAAACTTTTTCTAAAATTCTAAAAATGAAGGATATACATAACAACGAAACAAGAAATAAATGTAATTACCAAACACCATGAAAAAAATAAAGTTGGACAAAAAGGTATAGCTTACAGGGGCTGCAAAATTTGGAATAGTTTATCTGATCATATAAAACACTGCAACTTAATTGGTGAATTCAAGACACGAGTCCACACACACCTATTTAATCACTATGTTCAATAATTAATATTATGTAAAATAAGAATAATGTTGATTTTATTTAGGGTCACTGTTATCATTGTCAGTATTATTATTGTCTTATTTATTTTATGTTAATAGAAATTAGTATTACTATTGTTATTATCATTATGAATATTATTATGATTAAGCTTGCTATTTATTGTTATTATTATTTTATCAATACAGGTCATACGCCTTAAAGCTTTGCTTATTTTATGACCTTTTCCGTACAAACCATTAGTATTCTGTTATGCATCCATCAATTATGTTTAAGATATATACTGTAATGTATAACTTTAAATATCATGAAATGGTATGCAATAAATGGTACAAAATTACTACCGAAATTATACAAAATATTAGTGGTATAGTTATAATTTATCTTTTTGCCCATAATGGAATAAAAATTTCATACCAATGAATACGATGACAATCACGGAAATGAAAACGAATGCGACAGATCCAACAGAAGCAATAAGCACTGTAGGTGGGCCAACAACGCTGTTGACCTGAAAATGAAAGATGATGATGTCACACCTTCAATCTTCAAACATAATCCTCACAAGGGATAACATATTATTCCAAAGGTAATTTGAATTAGGAAAGAATTATCAAATAAATGATGTAGACATATTCAAACTCCGCTTGTTCTATCGCCTTAATAATGGCATTTTCCTCTGTCACACTATATAACAGTCCTGGCTTCATTCAAAAATATCTTTAAACCGTAGAGAAATTTTACAAAAATGAATTTTATTTAAGCTATTTCCTTGTTATTTGATGAACAGTTTAATCACTGTTAATTGTTAAGGACTGTCGTTTTACTATGTTGAACATTTCTGTCTGGCTTTTTGAGCAATTTACATGCCTTTAACCGGCGTAAGTACGTATAAGACTACATAATGAAAAGGGAATGTACGGTACCGTTGGTTTGTTGAGGTGTATTGTCGTAGTCACAGCAGGTTGGTGTATTGTCATAGTCACAGCAGGTTGGTGTATTGTAGTTACATCGGGCTCTTCAGCTATAAAGAGAGTATTTGTAAAGATTTAGTTTAATTTCTATCTTATTAATACTATACTTTTAAAATTATTCTCCATGGTCAGTTGTAAGGGCTGAGAATATCAGGATCTTAAAAGTAGGTGTTTTACAGGGCCGTAGCCACGATAAATATAGTGGTCAGATTGCGAGCGAAGCGAGGAATGAGGCTAAGGCAAGGGGGAGGAAGTGGTCGCCAAGAGGTTCAGGGGGTTCAGGGGCCGAAGGCCCTAGGGAAATTTTCTATTTTTACATTATAATAGACACATTTTAATGATGTTCTGTATTAGTAATCTAATATTGTTGATTTGCCTTTTGACATTGTCAATTTTTTTGGATTATGGCTTTACAAAGAAAAATTGCAACGTATGGAAGGTGTGATGAAAGAACCGACGGTATGGTTATGTTTTTCAATTTACAGAGTGCAAAATACAAAGAGTCCCTAAACGCTATTAAAAATCAAGTGTAAAGGTGGAACGGAAACCAAAACCAAAATGTAATATATGAAGTGAAATTTGAAATAGTGGATTATTAGATCGTGTTTCAAAGCTAAGGAGTGAATGAGTGTGCACGAGTGTTTCTGGAAGAAGGAGAAAGCTATGACAACCGTGTTCTGTTATGGTAATTATGGTAGGAAAAAAATAAACAATTGTCGGGGAAAACAACAATACTGTTTAATTTATAAACTGTACAATGAAATTTTGCCACTGACAGTTTTAGTATGTTAGTCCCTGGCATGGCTGGGCCGCGGCTTGGTGAAAAATAAGTCCTAGTTTCTTAATTAATCATTATAAATCTTATAAGAAAATAATGTAAACTAGCTTTAACCATTCACCCTAGAGTTCACAGACATGTGGTTCCTGGGTTATATCAAGAGAAAATAAACATACAGGTGGAATTTATCCCTTTTCCCAATCCAAAACCTAATCGGTTAATCTTTGGTCTGTTAAAAAGTGGTCAGGTTGAAACCTGGCCAACCGTACCGGTGGCTACGGCCATGCTTTATTATACAATTTTAATGATTTCTATTATAATGATTGATCCTATAAATCAAAGAAAACTCACTGGATTTTTGGTGGCAGTCTCTTGAACCGATATCCGTTGTACTCTGACATTCGAGGCAGCTTGGCTGACCAGCGTCCGGTTGGTAAGTTCCTTCTGGGCACATTTCACACACTGCTGGTAGAAGGTCATTACTTCTAAACGATCCTGGCGGGCACTCGACTACATTTGAAATTTGATAATTGCAATAGTTAGTGTGTATATCTAAATGATATGATACATGATCAAAAGTAAGCCAGCATGGCTTTTAATTGGGCTGCGTGTCTGGAAAATGTTGTGCGCCTAATAACCACAAGGAAAAGGCGCAATATAAATGCCCATACCAGTACCAGTACCATCTCCTCAGATTTATATAAAAAAATAATACATCAATTGTAATTGTACAGTGATCTTATGTATATGCATTTTTGATGTGAATAAATAAACCTGAATATAATTACATTAAAATTAAATTTATTCGTTAGACGACTTTTGTAACTATTAAGACGTATTCTGAAGGTAAATTCAATAATTTGAATATAAAATCAACGTAATCAACAAACTAGTTTAACTATAATAATTAAATTGTATGCAATTAGGATGGTATAAGTTATCCTTTTTAAAGATGTATTGTCCCTTGCTAATGTCAAAAAATCATAAAAAATCTATTTTGAAACCAACTTTCTCATTTTGCAATAACATACAAATTATTAACTTTAAAAAATGTGTACCCTGATTTTTAAAGCAGAAAAGTATAACAAAAATAATAAAACACTTTCAGTGACTGGAAGTGTTTCTATAATTTTTTTGCTGTAAATAACTGATGGGTAGACATTTTTTAAATACACTTATTTCTTTGTTCAATTTGATAACATTTATGTTGCTTCAAAATGGGCAAGCTAATTTCAAAAATATTTTTATGATTTTTTTTGGGTATTTAGCATGGGACAATACATCTTTAAAACGTTTAGGCCAACTTACCACATAGGTATCCATTCTCATCTGCATACTGTGAAGTAGGGCAGATTGGTCCTTCAAAATAAAAGGTAAAGCTGATAACCTCCATTGTTTTACCATCCTGCTCAAATACTGCTCCGGTTTTAAAAAGATTTTCAAGTGCCAGAGCTTTGGCTTGAAGGCTTTCTATGTTCTCGGCCATTTGGTATGCAGCCTCCTCCCTACTTGAATTGAAAAGATTGAAAGACGTTACATTGGTGTGCTCAAGGGTAAATGATAGTTCAGTAAGAAATGATTCTTTCCCTGGGTGTCCTTTCGTGTGATAAAGCACGTTGAATCCTTCTTCGTCACTTCCTATGACATATTCAATTGCACTTGCAACAGACTGATTAGGATACGTTGAATTTTCTATTTCTAACAATGTTAGTTCCATAGGACTTGAAACGCCTGGCATTGTTATGTTCAATATCGTAAGTCTTGCTGGCTTAGACATCATTAATCCATGTTTGTTTGATGCTTCACAAGTGTACCAGCCGCTCTGGTGAAAACCTGGACTCAGTAACTCAAGGCCTGTGTCATTCTTACCTTCGACGAGGGCCAAATTTGATGTTAATGTTTCTTGAAAAAACCATCTGAAGTCGGCCAAAGGAAGAGAGGAAGCATTACATACGAAGAACACACCCTCAGGATTTCCATAATCAATGTCGCTATCTTCTGGATGTCGAGTTATAACTGGTGGATATTCTACAATGAGTTTACTTTGTAGTGACTGCACAGACGTGACTTCATTACTGGCATGGCACACGTAAACTCCAGAATCAGATTTTGAAACTTCCTGAATGTTTAGAGTGTTTGCAATTTCATCGTCTAAAATTCGGCCATTGAATGTCCAACTGAACGTTGGTGCAGGATCTCCAGTCGCTTGACACGTTATCTCTATATTATTTCCTACTACAGTAACAAGCTCCGACACTGGGTGCCTTGTAATGACAGGACTTTCAAGACACTGGTCATTATCCTCAGTTAGCAAGTTTGTATATTTGAGAACAAACAATGCGCTATTTTCAGCATCCTCCACACTTAGTTCCCCTTTGTTTAAGAGTGATTGAATGAATTTTGCCATAGTCAAAAATTCATTGTAACCCTGTCGACCCTCCAGCATATTATTTAAATGTTCTATATCTGTGATTAAACAATCAGTAAATATTTTACATTCAAACATTACAGTATAACTGGTAATGTATCTGTTCATTGTGGCCTCCCATTTAGAAAAAATATCGTCAGTTTCAAGCACAGACATCGTACTGTTAACCTTCATTTTTTCTGCATAAATAACGCTCGACAATGCATCGGATTCGGACTCGTCGGATGGTATATCATCCGTTTCCTCTAGCTCTTCTTTTGTTAAGTTGAAAAAAATGATTGCAGCACTTTCGTTTGCACTAATTGGAGACGACTTCGACAAGTTGTATGCATATTCTTCAAGGACAGCTTCAGACTGTTCAAAGTGTTCGGGGATTGACGAGTTTGCAATATTCAACAACGTATGGAAGGAATATTCGATGTACTTCACAAATTCAGTAAAAATGTGGCATTGTTCTTCAGTAGAAACCTCTTTCTGGTCACGCTGTATATTATCTGTTACATTGACATTGTCCGTTTTGTTGATAAAATCATAGTTAACAATATCGATTGGTGGTTGACTGATAATGGGCGAAGTGTCTCGTTTTTGATGATGAAAATAACCTGAATCAGCAAGGTAAACTTCTTGTTTCTTTCTTAATGGATTACTAACGTTACGAAATATTTCATTAGCTAAAAACTTTGCAGCATTTTCGATAGTGTAGTTTAGATTATTAAAGTCAATCAAAATTCGAATAATGCCGGAAACGTTCAATAGTGTGTGACTTATATCCATGGGAATTGTCTTCATATCTGTTACCGTCAAATCGATATTAAATCCGATTTTGTTAATAAAAAAACTGTTGCTTAATGATCCATTAATTTCAAATTGTTTAATATTCAGATCAGATTGAACATCATTTTGGACTTTTTCAAGGCCAGTCTTTGAATTATTTAGATTTTCTTGCAACACATACACCCTTTCATTCACTGCTTCCAATTGACTACTCGCATCTTCAAGTTCGATCCGAGCTTCATTCAATCTCGACTCCATTATTGTTGCATTCAATTTAGCGTTTTCAATCTCTGTTATTGGAGACACCAAGCCAGGTGCCGATGCTTCTGACTGTTTGTATAATTTATTCCTTACTTTCCGACAATTTTCGTTGCTTCTTACACAATTGGAATCAGGTATCTGGTAGCCACACGTGTTCTGCACTACCTTTGGTTTTGTTATTTGACCAATCATCGTCTTTTTCGTGCACGTACTACACGATGTGAACATAACTTCAATAACTACTGGTTTATAGCATACATAACAACATTCGGAATTCGTACATTTTGTGCGTCTGCCTGTCCTTCCTGAACGTACAACTTTGACCGTTCCTCTCACCACCTGCCCAGAAGCTATTGAAGCAACGCCGCCAACGAACAACCTACAGGCTTTGAATCTTCTCTTCTTCGAAGTACAAGCCCTACAACTATAACAACAACTGGTTGTTTCATAAACAGTAGTTTGTTTTTTTCTATTAGTACAACATGTGTAGGGAACATAAGAATAAACTTCCTCTTTTGTTTGTATGACTTCTGTCGTTGGGATACATATACCAGGACACGGTACAATCGCACATACCGAATCCAATTGGTCTTGTAGTTCAAGTATATCATCAGTTGTTTCTTCAAATGATGCCTGTGTCCGCTCTACCTCGGCATCTGCCGCCTCTAAATTACACACAGACATTTCATACTTTAATTGAGACTGAATCATTTGGGATTCTTTCATCTGTTGCTCAATCATAACATTATCTAACTTGCTTTGTGCCATTTCTACAGTCGAAATTCCCTGTGTTATTCTTTGCTCCGCCATGTGCAGATTTCTTTGTGCTGTAGTAATGGTTTTATCTTTTAAAATAGCTCCTAATGAATTTTCATTCTCTACATCAACATCTCCTTCCGCGTTTAGTATCATTGAATCCCATGAGGTCAAGTCTGAAGTGATATTTATTTTACAATCGTAAACCCCCCAAAGTCTACCCGACAAGCCAAAGTAAATACCGTCTTTTTCTATACACATCACTGTAACTTCGTTAATGCCGAGCAGATTCACACTAACACCTACTTTCCCTAAAAAACGTTCTTCAGTAGAACTCATTGCAACTAAAATTTGGGAATTATCAGGGATTGTAATAAAACTGTTCAGTGTTAGTCTATTTTTATACTCTCCTTTAAGCCAGATTGGGTCGCTATAATTATCAATAGGAAAAGAATAAACAGTGTCGCCACAATTTCTCTTCGATACAGAATCAAAAACTTTCATTCCCAAGGCAGGCATGCATAAACTTTCCGAAAAACACACTTTGCATGTGATGAAGAAACCAGTACCACTGATAGTTTCATTGACGAACGTTGATTGTATCTGAATGTATAATGCATTTCTGTTGAACTCTAATGACGCTATAGCATCATCGATATTCTCTTTCAAATAGGATGGAAACAAAAACTGATGGTTCTGCTTTCTATAAACGAGTTCGTCTTTCACAGCCCATAAATCATTCAAAGTAAATTTGCAATTAGCAGTTATATTTGACAACACACCTGCGATTACTAATACATCATCTTCCATTGTGGCTCTGTGATAAGCAAATACCAAATTTTGAAACAGCTTTGCTCTAAAACTGATCGTGATAGCCATGTTGTTTATTACTGATGGCAGTTCTTCAGCAAGCTCGGCTAATTGTGCAGATGTGTTTTCAAACTTATCAACAACTGACGTCACACTCAAGACATCGTAGGGAATTGTAAGTTGTGGTGTTAAATCGTATTGTAGCAGTACTTGGATTGGAGAATTTGCAGCCTCTGGTTGCAGTAGCCTCGAGAATGGAGTGGAATCAAATACACCAAATTGCATTGTTGATTCAATAAGTATACCATTCCTTGTAACATCACAACAGCACCAGCCTCCAGAAAAGTCTAGAAAGAAGATTTACATGAAAACTTTAATACTGTAACTTCGGTAGAAACAGTGTGTTTGATCTTTTTTCCCAATTTTCCAGATCCGATTTTGGCATCAAATATTATGAAAAGTACAACAGTTATACATCTTGTTGAGTTTATAAGCTATTTAATACTCGCACCTATGGCTGAAACTTAGTGTGAACAGTATTACTAGTGGGAGGTGTAGGAAATTACCACAGCCTTACATATTGTGGCCAAAATGCCAAACTAAAGATAGATGGGTACTCCGAGTTTGTGCATCCAGAGCTTCAGGTGAATGTGAAGAACTTCACAGCCCGTCAACAGTCTATACATGGCCCTGTCTCTTATACACATCTAGATGTGTATAAGAGACAGACATTATCTAACTTGCTTTGTGCCATTTCTACAGTCGAAATTCCCTGTGTTATTCTTTGCTCCGCCATGTGCAGATTTCTTTGTGCTGTAGTAATGGTTTTATCTTTTAAAATAGCTCCTAATGAATTTTCATTCTCTACATCAACATCTCCTTCCGCGTTTAGTATCATTGAATCCCATGAGGTCAAGTCTGAAGTGATATTTATTTTACAATCGTAAACCCCCCAAAGTCTACCCGACAAGAGCGATGGGAGCATCTGTTGACATCGATGTAAATTCAAGTAAGACGTCTTCCCCATATACTTTCCAATAAAGTTTCAATTTCACTGTGCCAAATTGTTGAAGTAACCACGGTCGTATGAATAATTCACTGAATAACTACAGTATAAATAAAGAAAAATAAATAATTGAGTCAGTCCTATTAAAAGGCTACATCCTTGTGCATTAAACTCTTAAGCACCAGCAGCACCCAGCAAGACTTACCACTGATGTGTCCTCCAAGCATACGTTGATATCACCTTCTTTCTCAATTGCTGCGTTAACTGATTGGTTTATGTTGTACGAATATTGGAGATTAGACCACAAATTAATTTGGTTCCCAGTGGCTCCTTGCGAAGTTAAGCTATTTGTAGTTGAGAACGCTAATCCAGTAACGTTGATGCTTAAGTTGGGTGTATGGCCTACACCCTGGGTGTAGTTCAAGATATTTCTGGAACTGTGTGGAAATGTTAAAATTACACTTCCAAGTGTAACATCGCAAACTCCTATAGCCAAACAGTACTTCTCTTTAATTGGGGTAAGAGGCAAATAAAGGATCCTTCCTCCGATGATTACTTCTGCCTTTTGGAGCAAATATACGAAGTACTGACCTTCAGCCATAACAGGAGCCTTCGCACACCACTTGTTTTCTTTTGTCTTATCACCGCTTAGGACTGAACCGGAAAATGCTGATTTCGACTGCTCTGGATCAATTTCGATAGATATGAATGTTATCCAGTCTGGTAAAATATGTTCAAGTTGATTTATGTAAGTGCGATACATCGAATGTTTTTCCACATACCATTGTATATCGTCCTCAGTTAGACCCATGCTCTTGCAGATTTCATGTGGCTCTGGAATAACATAATAATTATATGAATACCCTTCGAAATTAATCGGTAGTTGAAGAGTGGATGTATTCAGCGACACTACTCCAGTTGTTATCAACCGTGTGTCCTTGTACCTCCATTTCTCTGTAGATACCAGTTTAGCTTGTAGACCCTTTTCTCTGCATATTGATTGATCTTCAACCTCAAAACAACCGCCTGGTATTTGATAACCTGGTAAAAAATGTACATTGTTTTCGGGGTATTGTTCATAAATATATAGCTCTTCATATTCTGGCGTTGCGAAAGATTCAGCGTCTTCTCCCGCCAAGACAAAATATATAGCTGTGAAACCTTGAGTAATGCCTCGTACGGAAACCTTATTTATCGTCGAAGAAGGCGTAAATCTAAGATGTAAAGGCTCAATTGACAGACGAGTCACATCAGTTACAATCTTCAGTTCAAGTTTTGTTTTTGGTTGTGCAACAAACTTAAGGTCACTGTATGTATTATTTAAAATAATCCTTGGCCATGTAGGTATCTTGATGAAACCATTCGAGCACCTGGTACCTGTGTAACCAGTTCCAGAACAATCGCAGTAAAAACCATTGACGTCCGACGGAGAAACATGGCATACACCATTTTCGCACGGTGAGGGTTCACAAGCTTGGAGTTCTAAGTTAATAACAAGTATAGCAAGTCAATAACATATATTTCGGTAAATTTTAACAATAGTGTTATTTTTATTATCATAAAAATATTAATTTCTATCATTGATATTGTTAATTTACTATTGTTATAATTATAATCATTATTATTGTTCGTTATTAGTAGTCGTTTATATTAATATTATCATTATTTTGATTTAATGCACAAAATGCAGCATATTACCCAGACACTCAGGAGCACTGGCATTCCAATTCCCTGATTCCATGCAAACTAGTTTGAGGTCATGTGTCAAACTGTAACCATTGTCACAGCCAAATCCACAAACGTTCGAAATGGAATTTTCACAGGGGAAAAGAATGTATCCGTTCACTGGTGAATCCAATTCGGGACAAAGGATTTCTAAAACAAGTATAAGAGTTAAAAATTTATTCTTTATAAGAGTAAACGTGAAAACATAAAGGATAAGTAAAAGTATAGGCCTTGGAGTAAAAGTATAAGTATAAGAGTGATTAAAATATAACGTTGGATAAAGTGTTTTTCAAAAAAATATATTTATTTTGCTTTACAATATTCAAAAAATTAATGTAAAGTAAGCCTTTTTTGACAATATGAAATTAATTTTTTGCTGGTTTATCGCCCCTTGACTACGAATATGATTACACGCCAATTTAAGGGATTAAGCAAAGAATAGTAATGCTTACCTTCACACCGTGTAGACGTTCCACTCCATTCACCAGATGGGAGGCACGTGCGATTCGAAGATCCAGTCAAATGATGATACCGTCCACAAGTAAATGTGCAAGACTCTCCAGTTGTGAAACCGGTGCAATTCCTCGTGCTATTGAAAGGAATACCAATGTCGACACATGGGTTTGCTGCAGGAGGATAATGACAACAAATAGAATAAAATAGAATAGTACTACTGTATGTTTTAAAATGCATAGATCGGGGAGTATCACATTGATCTTTTAATTCTGTTGAAAACTAGTGTTGTTCCGCACATGTGCAAAGGAGTGTGAAATTAAATTTGTATTTTGGTTACTATTATAATTAAAGAGTTGGTTTGGGTACCAACATGATCGAATCAATATTTATTCGTTGCAGTATTATGTTATACTTACGTGTGTGTACGTACCGTACTCGCGCGAATAAACCCCCAGGCGCCTAAAATATTTTTTTGCACTTTTTGAGGGCGCTTATCGAGGTGCTTATAAAAAACAGAATGGAAATTGAGGGAGAGCTTAGGAGGGACGTAGTCAGGATTTCGAAAAGGGGAGCCGTTGTGCGAGGTATGTAGTACCGAGCGGATGTGGGTGTTCCCCTTCCTACGGCCTGGGAACGCCCAGGGGGAGGGGGAGAGCTCCCCTGGGAGGTACCGCACTCTGAAAGTTTAAGGACTGTGTTGAGAGGATAAAGTGAAAATTGCAATAGAAACACCATAAATAATATTAGTAAGCCTAACAACAATAATTATAGCAATAACTCAATAGTGGCGGATCCAGAAATTCGAAAGAGCGGTGACCCAGAGAGGGACTTTCATAGACTGAATTTATAATTAGGGCATTGAATTCGCCGCTGCTTAAAACATTCTTTATCCAAAGTAGTTATAATCATGAAAAATGGGCATGAAAAACCAGATCATATCCTGAACGCAAATTTACGCATCCTCCCCTCAGCAGTCACAAGACATACTGTACTCTGAGTTAGGTGCCGACTCAATGGAGTTTATTGTCATACCCAGGGAAGGGCGCATATCTTTTTTGAAAGGTGGGGGTGGGGAGACATTTTGTGAGTCCACATCCACCTCAGACCCAGCACAATAAAAAGCGCCAACAAATTTCTCATGATCTTTTATCTTTTTCGGCAACCATAGAGATCTTTTTAATATGTGTGATGTACCATATAATATAAAGCTTAAAAACATTGTCTTAATTGTATGTACTTTACATACTTCAAAACTATGATTTCACAACGACCTCAGCCCCACCATGGTTTAGAAAATTTGAGGAAATACCTCTATATGGCCGGAAATGACACTTTTATATAGTAAAATTCATCATCATCATCACATTACCATTATATGCCTACAATTTTCTCATAATGTTTTATCAGAGATTTTCGGCAACTATAGAGATCTACCGGTAATTAATATCCAGGACAACTTGGGTCTGACTAGGCCTATACTAAGGACATCCTATACTAAGCTTTAACTACTATAATAATTATGAGCAACAAATCACATATTTCCTTTTCGCCTTTAGAACAATTTTTAATATTATTAATATTATTATCTATTATAACAATCACCGTCGTCGTCGTCGTCATCCTCCTCCTCCTCCTCCTCCTCATCATCGTCATCATCATCATCGTCGTCGTCATCATCATCGTCATTACTACTACTACTACTACTACTACTACTACTACTACTACTACTACTACTACTACTACTACTACTACTACTACTACTACTAGTAGTAGTAGTAGTAGTAGTAGTAATATTACACAAAACTTTATAAACGCTTGCAAGAGGATAAAAACCAAACTAAACCATCGATAAGTGCACAATTTAGGCTCTTGGACCTCCGCTTAATATCACATTTCTGTATCTTAAAAGACATAGCCAGGGATTTATGAATTTAAGACGAATTAAAGTCTGATGAATCCGCCCCTTGAGCGGTATCCGTTATAAATCCGAAAATTATTTTTTTTTGCATTATCGTGTATAGTGAAAAATTGATTAATTTAACGAATATTCCACTATACTAATATATACTATCAGGTTAGCGGGTGACTTTGATTGATCTACAAATTTATAGTAGGTTTCTATCAGAGCACGGGGCACAAAGCTATAGTATAAAGAGTCAATTAGAAATTGTACAGGATTTAAATCAACACCAAACTATATGTTGAACGTGTGCTGAAGCATATTTTTACATATTTTAGCAGTATTCATTTTGAGTGGTTCCAGGAAATAATTAGTACTGTATTGGCTAGCAAGAACAAGCTATAAAATTCTAACACTGTTTACAAAGGGGGGGGGGGGGGTGTACCACGGCTCCCAGGGCTTCCCCTCTGTATACGTCCCTGGCGCTTAGCCTATATGAAAATCGACGAGTGGGTTCTTATGAGAATTTAGGGGGCGCTTTTTGGATGAAATAAGGACATCTGGAAACCGAAGATAAACGAATGGTTCTGGTGCAGAAAAAATAATCGTCCAGAGAGCATGGATCGACATAGGAACAATCTGTGAGACAACAGCAAATGAAATTAGTAGTGGTGGTGGTGGTAAACTTGTTGGCCACCTGCCGATTGAAGTTAGAAGGATCATTGCAAGGTTTCTTGAAACTCAAGATGAGAAGGTGCAAATTGTTGGGAAAACAAAAATAGAAGTAAGACTAGACAAATGTAAGAGGAAATTTTTGTCGATACTATGCTCTCATCTGTCCAGGAGAAATATCCTCATTTTGAAATTGACATAAGAAGAAAATGTGAATCCACTCCGCAGTTCAATCACGCTAACCACAGTACCAGGATTGATTGGACTATTGGCTTGCTAAATAAAAAAATCACATGAACATTTTTTTTTTAAATTATTGAATTCGAGGGGCGCTTAAGAAAATGTTCACGCTTATTTGAGCGCTCATTCAAACGGCGCGCTTATTCGCGCGAGTACGGTATGTGTATAGGCCTATGTAATAAAAATACTACCTGAGCATGTTCTTTGATCATAATTCAGAGTCCAGCCACGCGAACAGCTGCACAAGTAGCTACCAGCAGTATTGGTGCACTCCTGGTCGCATTCGGACGATCCAGCAACACATTCATTTATATCTACAGTATATAAAAACACATTATAGAAGAGAGTACAAATATTTGTACCTAGGCATGCAACGGACTTATTTTATATATTACATAGATCCTAGGAAGTTAATTTGCTAAAAGTACGGATATGATCTAAATTATTGCTTTTTGTGGAATAGTCAAAATTAGAATGAAATTGCAAAAACACGACTAAATTTGTTTCTAATACACAGTAGTATCCTAGGTAGCAAATACGCTGTCTACATTAAGGAGGCTTCTTCTATGAATGGAATAAACTATATGAAACACAAGATTCTGTAGACCAAATCCAGTACCGTTTCGATTTTAATCCTAGGGAAAATATTATGAACTCCAGAGGGTAAAATACCTTCACAGTGGTAAGAATCGACAACCTCGTATCCCGAATCGCAGGTGCATACGAAACTTCCGATTGTGTTAACGCATGTGTCACAGTTGGCAAAATCACATTCATTGATATCTACCATTGAATAAAAAATTCATCACAATGCTTAATTGGGTTTAAAATGTAGGTTTGTTATAAAAGAAAAAGATTGAAACTTAACGTACCGGTGCAGTTGCTTGTTCCGAGGAATCCGTCTTGACAAGAGCATTTGAAACTGCCCTGTAAATTCTCACATATCTGACTACAATTACCGTTGTTCACAGTGCATTCATCAATATCTTTAAAAAAAAAGTTATCTTTTTATTATTATTATTATTATTTTTCATTTGAACTATATTTCAAGCGGATGACCCTTGCAGCTAAGCCAGGAACAGCTAACATGCGGGGGCCCTCTTATAATGATGTTATGAGTTATATAGTATAAATTCAAGGAAGGCGAAATAAGTATACTTCTTTCAAAAAACGTTTTCTTAAGACATACTAAATTGTAAAACAATTTTTTGATTGTCAATATTTCTGATTACAGTATAATGTAATTGTACTACGTGTAAATTACATAACTAGTAATAGTTAAGGCGTGTTTATTAAATTTCAACAACCTGCATCAGTTTACCTTCTTCGCATCTTTCCCCAGAGTAAGTGTCCGGGCAATCACATGTATTTGGTCCAATGCAGTGCCCATTATTTTGACAATATGGTTGACAGACGGCTAGAGAATGAATATGAGGGACTCATTAGGCCTATAAATAGTTTGATATCTTATTAAATATATATCCAACTAAATTTCGAATGACATATGATCATTAAAGAAGTATAAATGCGACAAAACTGTAGGAGATACTTACGAACACAATCTGTAAGTTGTGATAGTGAATAACCATCGTAGCAGGAGCATCTAAACCCTCCAGGATAATTCTCACATACTTGTTCACATCCGCCATTTTTATTTAAACATTCATTAACTAAAGTAAGCGAAACAACTTTTAACGTCAAATTTGTTGATTAGAAAATATAATGGTATTTGTGTTCGTTTAAACAAGTCTTGGTGATAACATCAAGTGGTTTTGATTTATTGGTTCTACAGACTACAATATGTGTATATGTATGTATATGTATGTATATACATATACATACATATACACATATACATATTATACATACACACACATGTACCTATACACCCATACACACATACATATGCCAAAAAAAAAAAAAAAAAAAGAAAAAAACATACAAAGACAAATAAAAATATAATAAAAACACAAAAAAAAACACAAACAAAA